AAAAAAATCTCGCTGTAAGGCTTATCTAAACCACCAGATCTAGTGGAAAATCCACTAAGTTGGCAACACTGATGACACGAGCCGATGACAGTTGGTTGCAGCTGTCAACCTATACCCAACATTCCCCACCTTCCCCTATACATATACATGCATACGAAATTATATAATATTATCAAAGATAAGAAATATTTAAAATGTAGCTCTTATTTGGACATTAACTACAAATATTACCATGAAAATAGCAAAATTTAATAATGATGTTATCAATTTTGCATGAATTCATAAAAATTCGCAAAATGAAATTCATATCAATAAATATGATAGCATGTAAACGTATAAAAATATAAGCCAAATGGCCAACATGCGTCTGTAAAGCCAATGTATATTTCAGAGCATAATTGAATTCTCAGCCAGAGAATGTATAAACATAGAGAAGGTGCAGGATCGATGTCGAACATTTTTAAGATTGTAATAGGGACCTCACCTCACAACCACAGAATTCACGCTGTGAAATGTTAACATTTTTAAAAGTTCTCCACATACTCAAACAGAGAATATGAAGAGAAATGATATATGTACGGCATATGATGCCAAAGCAGGTATTTGCAATCAGGGAATATTGAATGAAAATAAGTTCTTTGATATTCCACTTTTTACAGCGAAAAATGTGTAGAAAGCAGTAAAGCGCTTTACCTAGCCCGCTGGCGGCCGACTTTATTGCTAGCTCACAGATTCGCTCACACGTATTAGTCAAGCGCTCTTTATACATTGTAGAAAATTAATGTGCATTTGAAAATCACTTGATCAGCGACTGTTGACTGCTACACATGCAATTTGTATGTGCGCGCTGATTAACAATTTTACTATGTTTAATATTGAGTGGGAAAACAAGTTTTTGTTTTCCGAAAACTTTTTCGGTAATGCTGATGTATTTAGTTTGTAAACACATAACTAAACGAAATAGGTTACGGGTAGTTCTAGAGAATTATTTATATGCCAACTAAAAAAACCCTTTTTTGAGCAATTCATTAACGATTGATGCGTTCGTTATGCTCAAAGAAAGGCTAGTTTTGCTGTTGCTTTAGAGCTGGCAAAGCAGGGAAGACCATTCGAGGACGGAGTTTTTTTTAAGATATGTGTCAAAAGGTTTTTCAATGTTTCAGTACTATAGGTCAGGAAGTTTTCAGTTCAATACCTTTATCACGGACAACTATAACTCGACGCACTGAAGTGAAGTGAACGTCGACATATTTATAATATGACTATGCGGAGGGTGCAAGAAAGCAATTATTTTTCCATATGTATTGACGAGAGTACAGATATATCCGATGTGAACCAATTAATTATTTATGTAAAAACGGTAGATGAAAACTTCGATACAAAAGTGGACTTGCTTTCGGTTGTATCTATGCATGACCATGTGACTGGTAACATTCTGTATAATGCTTTATATTCAAAGGTCCTTGCAGTCTTTGATATAACTAATTTAAGTAGCATTTGTACTGATGGTACTCAAGTCATGGTAGGTAGAAATGAAGGACTTTCTGGAACTCTAGGCAAGAACGGATACAATTTCCCTTTTTTCACTGCATTATACATCAACAAGCCCTATTTGAAAAGTGTTTGAATATGACCAATGCCATGCAAGTTTCTGTAAAAATTATAAATAGGATTAGCCGAGGCCGAAATTCTTTAAGGCATAGATAATTCAAGAAGTTTTTAAAAGAAATCGATTCAGATTATGCTGACCTCTTGCTGTTTTAAGAGTCCCAAGAACTTCTTATATCTATAAGAGACCCAAATTTTATATTAGATCTAGCTTTTCTTGCGGACATAAGTGAACAAATTAATCAGTTGAATTTGACCTTACAAGGTCGCGATAAACAAATATTCGATTAAGTCCTAGCAATTGAAAAATTTCACCATAAATTAAGCTTACTTATTAATAATTTGAAAGAAAACGACCTCACTGTTCTCAGAAGAACACGCATTATTGTAGAAAAATATTCTAACCATGCAAGGTTACAAGAAAATCGACCAATCCTTGATATATTGCTGACTAATTTTCATAACCGATTTCATGACTTTTATAAAATTAAGCACATTATTGAAATTCATAACGACGATACTGGGTGCAATACTCCTGGGGTGGGTTTAGATTTAAAATCCGAATTAGAAAAGATGCAACGTGATTTATTGTTGCCGAGTGAAACTGGGCAACAGTTTTGGAAAAATCTGAACGACAACTTTTATCCGAAATTAAAGAACGAAATGTGGAAATTCTTTTCAATGTTTGGAACTACTTATTGTTGCGAAGTTTCGTTTTCCACTTTGAAATTAATAAAATCAAATACCTGAACCTTGAAGACTTACTTCGTATAAAGTTTTGCGGCTCCGAACTAGATTTAGATAAGGTGGTTAAAAACCATGAAAATATTGATTTTTAGTTTTTTGATACAGCCGTTTAGGTGAAAATAATAAATTCAATATTTAAGATTTTTTGAATTTTAATTTCTTTTTGACAAGTGAATTGTCTTTTTTTTTGTAATTGATAAAAAATTAATAAGGAATTTCATTAATTTCACAATTTTGAAAAAGTTGTCGAATCACTTTCAATTTTTTTATATTAATTAATACTAAAGTTTTGTATTTTTTTTTTGGGTGTAGCAGCAAGCTCTCACATACTCCAACACAAGCACACAGTTTGGTAGTGTGCGTTTGGGCATCACTGGTACAAATACAGCTCTCTCACATACTCAAGAATATGAAGAGACATAAATACTTATATAGTATGTATGCATGCTCCTTGTGATACTCCCAGCACAGCATTGTGATATTTCCRTGCTTCAATTTTTGCTTTCGCAATGTATGCAAATACATGTGTATGCTTTTGCGTTTTACCGTCGGCAATTCAATATTGACATGTAAACATAATTATGGTATGAGTAAAATTTTGTATGAATGCATGCATAGTAATATTTATAGTTAATTTGGACTTGCATATTTAATAACCTCATTTGCTTATTACATAATATACTCTAATATACTAATAAATATTTTCGTATTATGTTTCTTACTAATAGAAATTAAATTTTTCATTATATGTATATAAATATTATATGTGCGCGCATTGATCGGTATGCTCATACAATTATATATACTTATATGTACATATATTTGTATACACTTCCGAAAAAATAATGCACAAGCATACAAGGCATGCTCGGGGAGATGTTACGGCATCTGGTTTTATGAATGAAGCGGGTCGCTTGTGGATTTTGCGCCTGCATTTATGATTGAAATCGTTTTTGTTATAAAATTTACTATGTTTGGGCTTCGAAAATTCGACTGCCATATTGACTTGGCATGCTTATGCTATTTGAGACAGTTGTTGTTTCTTGTAGAACAACGTTTGGATTTTTTGTTGGTAACATATTCACATGTGTACGCATATGTATATTTGTTTGCTTGTGCATTATTTTTTCGGAAGTGTATACAAATATATGTACATATAAGTATATATAATTGTATGAGCATGCCGATCAATGCGCGCATATATAATATATTGATAAGTTATAAATATGTATATATATATATATATATAATATATTTTTCGCTGTTAAAAGTGTAATATCAAAGAACTTATTTTCCTTCAATATTCCCTAATTGCGCATATCTGCTTTATCATCATACATTCTCTGGTCGAGCCAGCAGCGAATTAACACCGCGCAAGACTATAGCGCAAAACCAAATATGCCCTGCGAGAAATATTTTATGATTCTAAATGCCTTTGGTGCCATGCCATTTATGTTCCAAGTCTTTTAATGATAATAGGGAATATATTCTTAAAGAGACATTTTGTTAATTTTCATTATACTATTAATTATTTAGATAAAAAAAAGAAACAAAAATGTGTCACTGGGCTACTTTTTTTTCGTGCTCACCAACACAGTGACAGATTCTTTCATGCCGACCACTGGATTAGACGTATTGTACGACTCTACGAAACTCGCACAAATCGAGACGAGCTGCTCCGAAATAGTGAAAAGTGAATAGCTGTACTTGTAAAATTTGTGTATAAAGTGTAACTTGTAAATTTGTGTATATGAATGAACAAAGTGCATTTATTATTAATGAAGAAAGTCATGAAAAAATGGTGAAAGAAAATGAGTGAGTACTCTATATACATACATTTTAATATTATCACACATGCAGTATTAAAATTGAAAATATAATACCGCTGCAAAGATAACCTAAATTTTTGATATTAAAATGAGCGATATTAAAAGTTGCCCTTTTTTATACACACAAACGCACACACGCATATAATTTAAATTCTCAATTTAAATTCTCAATATATATATTATAAAACAATATATATATAAATAAATTCATTCATCATTATGTATATAACAGAAACCATCAAACCAAGCACGTGTACTATTCAGCACCTTTGTGTTTGGTGTATTGATAATGAACATGAATGCCGCGCAGAGAAAATATATATGATATTATATCTATATAAATGTACATCGCGCGAAATTCGATAATCACTACTTAATATTGTTATTTGTTTATAAATTAATAATTTTGCTTTGGTATGTTATTACACTATTTATACCTATTATTTATACCTAGATATCTTCGTTTTATAGAGAGGAAARCGTAAAGAGCTAAAAGGAAAAAAAAAACTAATGCACTTCAAAGCAAATGCAATATTATCAGCGTCAGAAAGATTTGAAGAAAAATGAAAAAATACTAAAAAGAGTACCAAAATCAAATGCTGAACGTTAAAAGAAATTTCGTCAACATAATGCGGAAAAAGCTTACATGGATATGTAAGTTGATTTAATAATAATATTATTTATTTATTTATTTAAAAACAAATTGTAATATATGCTTCAAAATTATTCAATTTAACGGTTTCATTATTTTTTATTACAGAAGAAGACGAAAATTGTGAAGTAATGAAGAGAACATCGTGCGATGTACCACACCATTGACGCGGTATTTACTAGGTATTTAGAGGATATTAAGTCGCAAACTTATGTTTCTTATTTCAGTTATCATAAAATTATAGTTTCAATGATAAATATTCCTGAATAACCAACAGTAAGATAATAAAACCCACATGTATTGTAAAATAATAAAAGYATTTTAAACAATATTAACTTTTTATTTATTTAAAAATAGAAAAATTTGTTTTCTTATCGGTCACCACGCTCAAAAAGTGTAACTTGAGTTAATATCAAAGAAGAAGAAATACTGCATGAATAAAATAAATAAATAACTATAATTGCATAAGTTGATACAAAATGCTATGCAATAGCCTTACCGCAGCAGTCCCCGAGTGCCACACGTCTTTTCTGTTTTTTGAAAAGATTGAATTCACGAGCGAATTAAATAAGCACGTCGGTACACTTTGAACACTCTCTCTTTAAAAGTTTTGTATAAAAAAGTTTGGATATTCGATTGGCGTAATTGTGCTATTTGCGGAAAAATTGCTGTGAAGACGTCTGATTGTAGTAATTTCCAAGAGGAGAGATTGTAGGTTTTTTCTAAAAATGTTATTGTTAGTGTAGGCCGAAAATTGTGCRCACAATTGTTACTTATCAAGCGTAAAGCATAATTGAAGTTCTTTGGGAAGATCTCTGGGTTCTCTAACACCTAAGAGGAGAGGTAAATCAACTCTAAGTCCTTTAACGAAGCTAATAGTGCTTTATCCCAATATGTTGTTGTTAATATTAGCAGAGCTTCAGCAAATATTTTTATCCCTGAAATTTTGTTTACTATTAAGGTTACCCATCTTACCTTGTTGATAATTGTTTGATAAAAATCTTGATGGTTAGTTGGATGGTTTTATTTCCTTGTCCCTTTCCGGTTATAATGTATTAAAATTTAGTAATATTATTTTTATGTTCATAATGCGAATTTAGATAATTTACAATACCTTAAGCTAGCATCGTTGGTGAAAATTGCATAGAAGAGAGCAGTAAAATTAAAACAAAACATAATAAACATACAGTTTTATATGTAGCATACATATATCAGAATATTCAAGATGACGATATGATTATGCATTTATTTGCTTGCCCACGCAAGTGTCAACTTGGGTAAACAACTATTTATCTTGATATTTGCGTTCCACGGCACATTGAAAAACGACCATTGGTACGTCTGGATCTAGAAACTACTGTTTTGTCAGAACTGATATTCGCGGACCACTAAACAATGAAAGTTTTTAAATTAACACTTTTTTTATTTTCGCTTCTCGCGTAAGACAAAGCTATAATCTCGGAATATGTTATTTAGATAGGGCCACAAGGCAAAGATTTTCATTAAAAATCATTAAGTAACCTTAATTAGACATGAAGTTTGTTTATACCAATCAACGTGGTTAAAACAACTACTATAAACTTTTTCGTTGAATTCAAACTTATGGCCGCTTACGTTTTTAGAATTATTTGTGCGTATACAGTTGTGTTATCGAAAATAATAGTGTGACAGCTTATAACACTCCAAACTTATTGCTGACATGTTCTATCTTGCAAATTGAAAACTTCTACAATACTTTCGTAGGACAGAATATTGTTAACAAAAAACACCAAAATGCCGTTATTTTTATTTTGCGTTGCTTTCTTTATGATATACTCATATGTATTCCAATATTTGCACCAAAAGTCTCTTGTTCATTAAAATAGTAGTGCTTGACGGGAATAGTTGAAAAAAAAAATTAGTTTTAACTGTCATCAGTACGTGTATTTAAATAATGTAGTAATTGTGTCATATGAATTATTGAAATCGCTCTTTATTTCTTGTTTAGTTGGTTCAAAAAAAGCATTGCTCAATCGAAACGTGAGAGTTGATAGTTAAGTTAAGAGATCAGGGCAAGATGTACTACTATTCATATAAACAAATCGAAGAAATGGTTGGTTGCATTGCTCCGATGATATTTAATTCTATTCATCATACTATTAAGTCGGAAACTCGTGGTGGTAAGTGCAACACTACATTTCTAGTGGACCGATGAATTGTGTGATACAGCAAAGCGGAACCTTCGCCGTCGTCAAAAATAATTAAAAATTAATTGAATCAAATAGTCAGTGCTGACGCAGTTAGCCGAAGGCTAATAGAAGCTAATTTACATGCAAGGAGACCGAGAAAAGTACCCCTTTTGACGAAGAAGCACATCAATGCTAGAATTACGAAAACCATATGTATTGACCCGCCGAAAAGTGGCGCAATATTTTATTTACGGATGAGATCAAAATTGAGGGAATGTTTAGTATCGCGCCGGTTAAATATCGTTTATGGAGAAAAACAGGGTCGGGCTATCCCCACTCCCGACCCCTTATT